CGGCGCCACCACCCCTGCCATCTCCATGTTGCTAGAGAACCCTGCATTTCCCCCTCGCCACACTTCTCTCCGTTATCATTACGTTTCTTTATCTATTTCAGCAGTTGTTTAACTTCTGTCTCTCCCCGCTCCACGGTGAGCTCCAAGGGGCAGTCTAATTGTCTAACTGATGCACTGCTTTACTGCCAGCACCTGAACACCTCGGGACATACAGCAGTCACTCAATCTATATATAACTTGTTGAATGAACCAGCTCATGCTTTGCTCCCATTCCACTGAAATGATCTACAGAGCAGGAAAACCGAAGCTGGCCCCTAAGTGGCCTGATTGCTGCCCCCTGCCTCTCCCCACATGGAAACTCTGCCTTTTTCCTTCCAGGAATTTCCAGTTTCACAGCTGCATTTTCTGGCCAGTCCCCAACCCACCCTTCAGTAAACTCCCTCCGACCTGCACTGTCCAGTATGGTCACCACTGGCCACAAGTGGCCTTTGAGTCCTTGAAATGGGACCAAGCTGAACTGGGCTGTGCTGTCAATGTAAAACACATTGGATTTTGGAGACTTAATAGAAAAAAAAGGCGGCAAAATATGTCATTAAGAATTTTTTATATCGATTACATGTTGAAATAATACTATTTTAGATGTTTGTGTTAAGTAAAATACATTATTAAAATTAATTCCACCTGTCTCATTGTGTATTTATTTTAGTTTATTCTATGCGGTATCAGGGCGTTTAAAGTTACATATGCAATTTGGATTGTAATTTCTATGGGACAGCAGTGGTCTTGAGAAACCAAAGCTGACCACAATGACAACAATGAAACAACAATAAAAATAATGTACTGATTGCTTATGTGGTGCTCTAGCTGTTCAGACACATTATCAAATGTAAGCCTTCCAACAGTGCTGCGAAATGGGGATGTCATCTCCATGTCTCATATGAGGAAACTGAGGCTTAGAGAGGTGGAGTTCTTGCCTGACTGGGAAGCCTTAGACTTATTAGAGCATGTCTTTCCTGCAAGGATTTGAGGCAAAGATAGACTTATGGGGAAGGAGAAATGGGTGGGGAGACAAGCAGGGAGAACATCAGTGAAACAAGTCTTTCAGGTGCTCCCCTAGCAAACAGGACCCAGGGTCCAGGTTTTCCAAGCAGCCCCCTTCAGCATTTAGTATGTGGCTGGCCCTTGTCCCTGAGGATGCTTCAGTGGCTGTCCTGAGATGCTGAATCAGAAAAGGCACTCCAGGCCAGTGGAACAGGATGTATGGGAGGAATAGAGAATGGGACATCACAGGGTGAGGATGTTTTATTTTATTCTCTCACAAGCGATACTAATATTTTCATCATCCCCATCTCATGGATGAGAAAACTGAGGCACAGAAAGGTCAGGTGACTTAACCTAGGTCCACAGCAGGAAAGGGTAGGGCAAGCATTCAAGCCCTGGTGGGTGGGCTGGTCTTGTCACATTGGCTGGGGATCAAATGCACAGTTTGGGAAACACCAACATTCTATTCCGTTCCTCCGATTTTACAGATGAGGGCAATGAGGCCCAGAGAGGGTCAGAGAGTTGCCCAAGGCCACACAGCAATCCCTGGAGAATGTGAGAAGTCAGGAAGGCCCTTGGGAAAATGGGGGTTGCCTCCAGGATGAAGTCTCCAAGACTGTTTCACGCCTACCCTCTTCCTAGCAACACTTTTAGGAAGGGTGACGTTGCAAGGGGTGTTCTAGCTACCCGTAAGTCCTCCCTTCTCAGTGTAGCCAGTGAGTTTGGGCCTCAGGAAAATGGAACCACATTTATCCCGCCTGCCGCTGTGAGCTCACTGTCTAGGCATCCACAGCTCCTGACCCCAAACCCACATGTGTACTGACATCAAGACCCATGAGAAACAGGGTGACTCTGAAGGCTGGGATGAGGGGGCCCACGGCCCCCCCACCCCCCAGTTCTATGCCACCCCATCCTAACATTCTGAGGGTCCCTCCCTCTGCTACCCCCCTGAAGCACCCCAATGCCCCTGTTAACTCAGGCAGGAAACCAGCCAGGGCAGTTTTACTTCCTGGTCCCGATGCAGCCCCTCTGGGCTGCCCAGCTGGCAAGATTTGCTTCTTACATTTCTTCTCTTCCCTTTTGGAACACAAGTTCATGGGCAGAGAGTCAGGGCCCTGCCAGGAAAAATGGGCATTCCAGGCAGAGGGGGAAGGTGGAGGCAGGAGAGGAAAAGGCTTGAGCAGGAATAATTGTCTGAAAAGCAACATTTAATGACTGCCCTGGCCCTGGGGGGTGGGGAGGGGCAGGGGAAAAGGCAGGGAGTAGACAGGCTGAGTGGCTGGAACTGGGCTTCCCTCCCCGTCCAGGAAAACAAAGGCAGCTGTCACAGTCTTCAGGCGCCCCACATTTCCACACTCAGGGAGGGGTGTTAGGGTCTCCATTTAACAGATGAAGAAACTGAGGCTCAGAAAGGGACTTGCTGAAGAGAACAAGAGGTGTAGGGATTTCCCAAAGTCTGGGGCTCTTGGCTGGGACACTAATGGGGGATTTGTGGGCAGGACCCACATGCTAGGAAGGACCTAGCATGGGAGGGAGAAGTCACCCAGGTCAGTGATGGGGTGGAGGGTGGAGGTGGTGGGAAAGTGAGGCTGTTTGGGGAGGCCGAGGGAGTGGGGTGAAGAGGGAACAGGTGGGTTGACATTCCAGATCCGAAACCTGTCACACCTGAATGCCTTTCCTCACCCCTGGGGTCCCCCTCAAAGGGGCTGGCGTCAGAGGGACAAAGGGAGCCAGTTTACAGGAGTCCTTGGCCAGCCCGGGCGCCGCCAGCGGCAGTGGGCTTGGCCCGGGTTGGAGGCGCCTCCTGGTGGCTGAGGGAAGCGCCAGATGGCGCCCAGAGCCCAGCCGGTCCCACCCCTCACCCTTTCGAGATTCCAGATAGAAAGGTTAAAAGATAATTTTCAAAAGCGGGTGCAGTCAAGGCTCTCACCGACAAATAGAGACGAACACGTGTTAAGATTTTTTGTATTGAACTCCTGTGGGAACCAGGCAGATGTTATAGGAGGTTCAAAAGAGAGTCCGGAAAACGGGCACTTTTACAACAGATCAGACTATTTGAGTAAATAAATGTGCGAATGGAGGCAAATTGGTTTTTCCACAGGGGAGGAGGGCTGTCGATGGAACCTCAGCTGCGTGGGCCACAATGCGCAGATAAGAGTGGTTCTGTATTGCTATCAGTTGCTTACAATTCATGGATGGAGCTGTGAAATAGTTCAAAGACGCTGTTATGAACCAGCTAACCCGGAAGGGAAGGACGTGTTGTATAGCGATGACGCTTTGAATGGTCAGAACTGATTTACAGAGACGCAAAATGTTCCTTGCAGAAAGAAACAATTCCTTCCTTCCTTCATTCAACAAACACCTGTTCCTGGAGCAACTATTGTGCGCTGTTCCAGGTGCTGGAGACACAACAAAGATGCAGAGTAGAAAACGGACGAGAGTGGCACAGAGTGACCCCTTCCAGGAGCGGGGGACACCTGGGAGGGGGAAGGAACAGGAGGTGAAAAAGGCCAGGGGGCAGGACTGGGTGGAGGCGGGGGTCTGGAGGGGGTGGCCTGGGGCTTCCTTGCTTTCTGTTCTCCCCACTAGAATGTCAGTTCTCAGCTCTACCTAGCCCAGAGGTTGGCATGCAGTAGGCGCACAATAGATGCCCAACGTGCAAAGCGACTCCATATCAAAGGGCAGAAGTCACTCGCTGTCTGCTTAGGGGAGAGACTGCTGTGAGGCGGGCAGATGGCAGGAGGGTCCAGGTCCTGTAGGTGGGGCTCAAGGAAGGGTAGACCCTGGGCATCACAGAACCAAGCGGCAGCCCTGCCCTCCAGTCCCGGGCCTGGGCCCCATCCTCCACCCCTCTCCTCCCCCTAACAGAAACCCTGAGCCCCCGGCCCCAGACAACTCCAAACTGTGAAGTCTCGCCATCAAATTAGGGCTCTGCTGCCACAATTCCTGTGTTTTTGAGATGTAAATCAGGATTTTTTTTTTTTTTTGCATGTGAAATTACCGTTCCTGCCTTTTCCGGGGGTTAAAACTCACAAGGAAAAGTTACCATTTAGAAGGGTATAATTCAGTGGCCGTTAGCACATTCACAACATTTGCAACCACCAACTTTATCTAGTTTCAAAACCTTATCACCTCCCAGAGATGACCCCATACTCATTTGCTGTCACTCCCCACTGCCCTTCCCCCAGTTCCTGGCGCCCCATAGGGAACCACCGTCGCTATGGCTTTGCCTCTTCCGGACATTTCACATGAATGGAATCACACATTATGTGGCCTTTTGTGTCTGGCTTCTTTCAGAATGTTTTCCAAGTTCACCCATGGTGAACTGTATCATTCTGTTTTATGGCTGAATAATATTCCATCCTGTGGATAAACTACACTTTGCTTATCCAGTCATCTGTTGGTTGCTACCACCTTTGGGTGACCATGACTGGTGCTGTGAACGTACGTGTACGAGATACTGAGTCTGTGTTCGATCCCTTGGGGTGTGTGCCTGGTGGGCAACGGCTGGGTCACGTGGTAACTCCAGCCTGAACTTACCGAGGAGCCACCAAACTGTTTTCCAGTGTCTGTCCCTTGCTTTTAAGAAAAATGTTGGGAGTTCAGTCACCCACCTCGGGGTAACAGCCACTGCACTCCCACCTCCCTCCAAAGACAGTGGCTCAGCCGATCCCACAGGCACAGATATTTTAGGGGAGGGGAGCCCAGGATGGAACAGAACAGAAACTTGGTCTGTTAAGAGAGGCAGCAGATGGGTGGCCGAGAACACGTACTGGGGCTCCGCCAGTGCCGGGTTCAAGTCCCTGCTCTGGAATGTTAATGTGACCTGACCTGGGCATCATGAGGACTGAGGTGATGTGTAGAAAGCGCCAGAGCAGTGCCTGGGCCACAGGCAGTGCTTCATACCTGCTGTTATGACTTATGACTTTTTTTAAAGGTCGAGGTGGCACTGAGAAGTCTATAAGCACATTCTGGTTTAATCGGCATTTTGACTCTACAAGGTGGTGTCAGTACCTGTCCTGCAGATGGGAAAGTGACTCACTAGGCTGCCTGGCCGGTCCCCGGCAGAGGGGGTGACACAGGCATGTCCGTGGAGGGTATGTAGGTGAGTCACCCAAGGCAGGAGGAAAGAACACTCTCCCCTGGCTCCCAGGCTGGAGGTGCAGAAGCCCATTCGTCCTTCCCTGGCACGTGGCTAGTCTCCTGTGGAAACTGCTGGGGATGACCTGGTCGGGGAACCTGGCCGCAGGCCCCAGCACGTCCCGCTCACAGGAGCATGTGACCGTGGGAGGAATGACAAAGTCAGGTTTATTGCTCCGGGTTAAACCAGTGGAGACAGGATGTGGGGAGGGGTAGGGGGACACAGGAAGTTGGTGAAGGCATCCTCCTGGCCTTGGCCTGCGCTTCGCCTGGGCTTGGCACGCTGGGAAACCAGCCAGTGCACTTCTGACCTGCTGATCACGTGCTCACGGGCCAGGGCTACAGTAAAGTTTGAGGCGCAACCCAAGGCTCTGGGGAGCACGGCCTCTCCTCCCTGCACAGGTCTGAGCACAGACAGGGCTGTGGCGATGGCCTCTGCTGGGTGCCCCCTTAGGAAGGCGTCTTGGAGGAGGCGGGGGCTGCTGCCTTCTGTTTGGTGGGGGCCTTCAACAGCGCCAGCTTCTTGGGCAGGCTGGTGCTGGCTTTCACCAGCACATCATGTTCGATCTTCTTCCGGATCCCGACCTCCAGGTTCTGAGGGAGCAACCATGGCACAATCAGACTGGGACCTGAGGCGGGAGGGAGGGCCTGGTCTGCTGCCCTTTCTCCTGTGAGCTCACAAGGGGCTGGATCAGCAACTCCCCCCGAAACAACACCTGAGAGTCTGGTGGCTGGGGGTTAAGTCCTGCTTCTGCCCCATACCCTGGGAACATTGCACACCGAAAAAACCCCTTCTCATCTCTGGATCTCAGCTTCTAAACCTCTGCCCATTTCCACTTTACAGCTGGGGAAACTGAGGCACATGTAGCGAGGAGGCACTTGCCCAGGATTCCCAAATCATGTGAGTGATGGGAGATTGGAACCCAGCACGCCCAGAGTCCCCAGCCTCAGCCTCCAGGCGGGCAGCCTCCCCTTGTCTCTGCTTTGCTAATGGTGAACTGGGGCTCTGAGAAATAGGGGTGCAGGCAAGTAAAGGCACAGGAATCAGAACCCAAGTGTTTGGGTCCAAAACTGGTAGCTTAATCATATTACCTAAACTGCTCCCTTGCCCTACCTGTGAGTTCCAATGACCATGACAACCATGACTGTCACCACACGCCTGGGTGCAAGGGAAACAACAGCAAAGACACAGCAAAACCTCTGCCCTCATGAAGCTGACATGCAGTGCGTGTGGACAACACAGCTGTCAGTGACAAATTCTGGTAAACCGTTTTTTTTTTTTTCCTTCGGCCACGCCCAGTGGCATGCGGGATCTTTGTTCCCCAACCAGGGATCGGAAGTGGAACTGGCGCCCCCTGCAATGGAAGCGCAGAGTCTTAACCACTGGACCGCCAGTGAAGTCCCTCTGGTCAACTGTTGAAGGATAACAGACGACAAGTGCTGCTATGGAGAAAAGAATACAAGGGATGATGAGTGAGGGATGGGGTGGGGTTGCCATCAGGGATAGCTGCTCAGAAGCAACGCTTGCAGCCAGACTTGACTGGGAGGAAGGAAGCCGTGTACATTTCTGGGAGAAGAATCCAGGCGGAGGAAACAGCTAGTGCAAAAGTTCTGAGGTGGGGCAAGGAGCAGTTATGGGGCCAGTGAGGCTGGAGGGAGAGAGGGAGGAGGTGAGGGCAGGGAAAAGACAGGAGTAGAGCGTGCCGGGTCCTGTGGGCTGTGGGGAGAACCTGGGCTCTTCCTGAGTGAGGTGGGAGCCACCGAGGGCTCTGAGCAGAGAAGGGAAGTGCCCTGATTCAGGTGCTCACAGGTGCCCTCTGGCTGCTATGGGGAATGGTGGGGCCAGGAGATCTGGGAGGATGTGACTGCCCTGGTCCAGGTGGGAGATGATGGGATGGGACCAGGTTGGGGGGTCAGAGAGGTGGGAAGTGGGTGGAATCTAGATTAATCCTGAAGGCAAAAAGGACGAGATCCAACCTGTATGTGAGAGAAAGGGAGAATCCTGAGTATCTGGAAGGAGAGACTGTGGCAGGATCATGGTGGAGTCGGGGAGCACAGTGGGGGTAGGATCAGGACCCTGGTTCTGGACATACTGAGCTTGAGATGCTCACGAGACACTTTCCCCCTCCGGCTGAGACATGGAGGTAAGCAGGTTGCTGGGTTCCCAGGTCTAAGAAAACTGAGGCTCTGGCGATCCAGTGGTTAAGATACCATCTTCCACTGCAGGGGGCACGGGGTTCAATCCCTGGTCGGGGAACTACCGAAAGCTGTGTAGCGCAGTCAAAACAAAAAACAAAAAACAAAAAACTGAGGCTCTAAACAATTTGCTCAAGATTATAGGGTGAGTTAGTGTGTGTTGTACAATTAGAATTCAGGTCTGCCTCCACCAGATCTCTTTGTAACTTCTCTTTGCAACCTTAACAAAAATCTCTTTGCAACTTCTTTATAAGATCAACCCTATTCACCTGCACACGAAAAAGCTACACTTAAAAACAAACACAAAAACGTTTATTTCAGCCCTGTGCTGTTCTCAGGGCTTTACAGGTGTCCTATGGCATTGAATCCTTACAACGCTAGGAGAAAAGTGCTATCACTACAACCATTTCTTCTTTAAGAAGCTCAGGGTGAAGATATACTAGCTGTCGATGGAACTGCGCTTTGCTCCCAGCACTGTCTTCTTGCAAAGCTGGGGTTTTCAACCCCTTTCCCAGGCTGCCTTCCCTCTCGGGGTCTATTAACGAGGACAATTTCAGCGAAAGCAGCCAGTGTGTGCCGAACACATTTTGCGCGCCACTCGTGGGTTTAGGAGTCTCACTGATTGGGAGGTAATGTTTCCGTACCCACTGCACAAGGGAGGAAACTGAAGCTCACAGCACTGGGAGTTCTCCATCCCGGGCCTCTCACACGTTCGAACTCACCTTCTTGAGCTTTTGCTGTTGCACGATGCGTGCCTTCTTGGGTGCGATAACGAGACCTGGGGAGAGATGCGCTCTCGTGAGGCCGGAGAACCTCGGGCCCACCTCGCCCCCCAGTCCCCGGCCCGCTCCTCACCGCCCTTCCTCGGGCCCCGGTTCCGCTCCGAGGCTGTCGCCGCTGTCTTGCGCTTCGCTGGTTTCCGCGCCTGGAACTTGCGCTGCCCCTGCGCCATGATCAGTCATGCACCGGAAGAGGCGGGGCTGTCGGAGGCCGCAGACGAAAAACGCAGGGCACGATGGGATACAGTGGGGCCGGAGGGCGGAATGGCTCACGGGATACAACGTGGCAAAGAGTTAAAGTGACCACTACCCACGACGGTCGATGATAGCCAGCATTGCGCAAAAATTTCGAAGTAAAGGTTATAATGATAAGCTAACACTTACTGGGTGCTTATCTGCTTTATAAAACTTATGCTGTTTTGTGCTCTTTATACATAAACTTCAAGTCTAGGACTTACGGTCAGGCAAGTGAGGCACTCTGGTGCAAAATTTAAGGGGTGCCCCGAACTTCAGTTATCAAGATAAAAATATATTCAACATTCAAAAATAATATTTTAATACAAAGAAAAATCGTCCAAATACAGCCTGTGGACTGGCTGCTTGATGTTGTAAATAAAGTTTTGTTGGCACGAGGGCTGGTATCAGGAGTGAAGGGAGTAGGGTCAGGATACGCAAGGTCAGGGTTTCATTCTATTTAATATCTTTATATTTTGTTCACCATGGATTGTTTTTGCATTAATTTTGATTTTTCAAAAGTAATGCATGAAGCTATTCTTTATCTTGACTACTGAGCTTCTCAGGGCCTCCTCTAAAATTTTGCACCTGAGGTGTCACCCTAATTCCAGCCCTGAGAGCAACCAAAAAGGGAAGTATTAGTATTGTCTCCATTTTGTAAATGAGGAAAACAAAGCATGGAGAGGTGAAGTGATTTGGCCAAGATCACACAACAGAAAAAGCGGTGGAGGACTTCCATGGCGGCACTGTGGTTAAGAATCTGCCTGCCAGTGCAGGGGACACGGGTTTGAGCCCTGGTCTGGGAAGATCCCACATGCCTCAGAGCAACTAAGCCCGTGCGCCACAACTACTGAGCCAGCGCACTAGAGCCCACGAGCCACAACTACTGAGCCCGTGTGCCACAACTACTGAAGCCCGAGCGCCTAGAGCCCGTGCTCTGCAACAAGAGAAGCCACTGCAGCGAGAAGCCCGCACACTGCAACGAAGAGTAGCCCCTGCTCACCACAACTAGAGAAAGCCCATACGCAGCAACGAAGACCCAACACAGCCAAAAATAAATAAGTTAATTAAAAAAAGAAAAAGAAAAAGAAAAGGCGGTGGAACTGCGATATGAACTCAGGCAGCTTGACTTCAGCTGCTGGGATCTTAAGAGCCATGCAAAGGCCCTGTCTGCTTTCTCTGTTCTGGGAAGAACTGTGGTTGGGGGAACAAGGTCAGCTTTGGGGCAGGCCGTTCAATAAGTTTATTATAAAAATAATGGGGGCAGGATATGGACAGCTAGGTTGGTTACTTCTGGGGTCCATCTAGGGTGACCGTGGCACCTAGGGCTTCCCGGAGCTCCTCAGGGGCAAAGACACCCAGCTCTGTGATGATGCCGCCAGTGATGAGGTCGTGGGGGGTGACATCAAAGGCAGGATTCCAAACCCCAATTCCTTCAGGGGAGAGGGGGGAGGCAAGAAAGGCAGGTATTAGGCTCATTGAAAGTTCTCAAGCTATTGTCACCTGTCTCACTCACAGTGGTTTTTGGGATTGGGGAATCCTTGAGAATCTAGAGATCCTCACCCCAAAAGTGCATGAAGGCATGGGTTTTGATACCAGTAATGAATTTAGACCCCCTACATTCCTGGATTGTCACTGTCTAAGAAGAAGCCTTCAAAGTCTTATATACATCCACCCACTTGTGCCTGCTCCAGGAATTTCTTTAGGAAACTCCAAGAATCCACCCCAGGGCCTTTGCATGGGCTGTGCCCTCTGCCTGGATGTTTTCCCTCAGATATGCACATGACTTGATGTTTCACTGCCTTCAGGTTTTTTCTCACATATCACCTTCTCAGTGAGAACTTCTCTGATAACCCTGTCTAATCCACCCCCTGCACAGACACTTCCCATATCCTTCTGTGCCTCATTTATTTCTCCTCAGCCTTTACCCCCTTCTAACGTACACTGGAATTTTGTTATTTATCTTGTTTGTTGTCTGTCTCCCCACTGGACTGTCAGCTCTATGAGGGCAGGGACTTTTATGTTTTTTTTCACTCCTGTTTCCCCGGCCCTATCATGTCACCTGGCACTGGCCAGGTGCTCAAAAATATTTGCTGAATGAATAACAATCTCTTACACAAGAGGCTGCAAACTCTGTTTTCTCTGGTTCACAGTTTTTTAAGCCCACTGAATTAGCTGCCAGCTTTCAAAGTGTGGGAGCTTTCAAACATATAACAAACGTAAGGCTTCTCTTGGAAAAATCAGAAGTTCTCCTGGGGTCTGCATTCCCGTGATCCTTGGCCAGAACAGAGTATCGGGGTCCCCAGACTGCACCGGGCCTGTGTTACCCAGCTTTCTTGGGGGGAGGGACACGGTGGGTTGTCAACTCTGCTTTCCATGGTCTTATGGGTTTTGATCAGTGCTAAATAATTAAGCCTCCAGGAAAGAAGGGGCACCAAAAAAATCACGAGAAAATATATATTTTTTCAGAATGAATGTATCTATTTTTATTATCTATCTATCTATATTCTTTTCCATTATGGTTTATCACAGGATATTGAATACAGTTCCCCGTGCTAGACAGTAGCTCCTTGTTGGTTATCCATTTTAAATATAGCAGTGTGTACACGTCAGTCCCAAATTCCCTATCCCTAACTGGTCCTTTTTATAAAAGGTTTTTGATCATACTTGTTACTATTTAACCAGCACTAAGGGCCAGGCACTGTTCTCCACTTCACGTGGGTTAATTACACTGAACCGCCTCGGGTATATATATAAGGTAGGTCATGAAAACAGCTCATGGGGCTCTTAGGGATGAATTTTAGGCAACCAGGCTACACAGCCAGGAAGTGTGGGGAGGCTGAGAAATATCTGTCTCTTCATAAGCACTCGGCCAGGTGGTACTCTTATTTCTTATTCAGGTGAGAAAACAGAGGTGGAGAAGAGCAAGGCAATGCGCTCAAGGCTTCCCAACTCATTAGCTGTATCTTCTGACCTTGAATGTGACTTCCAAGACGTGTCTGCTCTAAAATATGGCTTGAAGGAGCACCTCATGCCCCAGAAGGCTGATGACACCCCAAATACCACCTGCTGCCTGTGAAGGGGTCAGGGTGCCTCAACAGAGGTGCCCAGGCCTATGGTGCCCCCCTCTGAGCGGATGGCTTACCGGGTGCTGCAATCCTGACCCCGCTGACATGGGTCAGCTCCTGGCCAGGACGCTCCTCAATGATGATCTCCCGGCCCGTCTTCAGGTAGAGGTCACACGACGAGCTGGGGGCAGCCACATAGAAGGGGATGCCGTGGTGCTTGGCGGCGATGGCTAGCTGGTAGGTGCCCACCTTGTTGGCCGTGTCGCCATTGGCAACCACGCGGTCGGCTCCTACGACGACAGCTGGGGAATGAGATGCCGGGAGTCACCACCGGGCCCTGGATGCCTGGAGCCCTGCCGACTGGCACCCCCCACCTGCTGACCTGACACTCCATAGTGGGCCATGGCGGCTGCCGCCATGCTGTCGGCGATGAGGGTGGCGGGGATCTGCTCGTAGACGAACTCAAAGGCCGTCAGCCGGGCTCCCTGGTTGTAGGGCCGGGTCTCCGTGCAGAGGGCACACTCCAGACGGCCCAGGCTGTGCAGCGAGCGGATCACACCTGTGGTGCCCAGCCCACCAGGAGGATGAGATGCAAAGGGACAGATGGGCAGGGCAGCCCACTGGTTAGCAGCATGGTTCTCCAAACCATGCAGTCCCACTCCCGGGCCCTTGCAGTGGCTGTTCTCTCTGCCTGGTACAGATGTGTTTAGAGAATCCCTTCTCCGTGAGGTCTTCCGGGATTCCTCCATCTCACAGAGCAACCCTCGCACTGCCAACCCCTACTCTTTCTCCTTAGCACTTACCACCTTCAAATGCATCATACGTATTTGTTCTGTTCCTGTGTCTGTTCCTCCTATTTTCCTGCTCCTGATGGCAGAGATTTGATCTACTTTCTCCACTGCTGGGTCCCTAACTCCTAGAACTGTGCTTGGCACACAGTAGGTGCTTAATAAATGTTGAGTGACTGAAGGAATGGATGCATGTATGAATGATGGGGTACACAGGAGATAAGCATTTACTAAGCATCGATATTTGTTGAGTGAATGAATGAATGTCTTGCCATCAGAGCCTCAGTCCCCAGGCCCACGGGTGGCACCTAGGCAGGTAGGGAAACCTCCTGGAGAATTTAGGATCAGGTGGAATCCGCTGCCTTGAACTCCAGGACCCAGTCCCCCTGGTCCTGGTCACAGCTACCCTAATCTTTCTTTAGGGGGCTACGCCCTACCCCTCAGTCCTCTTGGAGTCCACATCCCACCCACTTTCTTTTTTTTAAATTTTAATTTAACTTTATTTTTATTTAAAAACTATTTAATTTTTTTTTTGGCTGCACTGCACGGCTTGTGGGATCTCACTTCCCCATCCAGAGACTGAACCTGGGCCACAGCACTGAAAGTGTTGAGACCTAACCACTGGACTGCCAGGGAACTCCCCCCACCCATTTTCTAGGCACATGGCACAGGCCAGGCCTATCGAGTGACTGATCCTAGATGGACAGATGACTCCATCAGAGCCCCCGAGATACAAGGAGACTTTTCTAACACTGTCGGAATAGAGACCCTAGGCTCTTTTTCTTGTGATCTGAACCCTGGCCGACGAGTGGAGCATGAGGGTGATGCCACCATGGAGGAGGGCAGATCTTAGGGATACGGATAGATGGACCCTGATGCTATGATTTGGGCCTCTGGATCCAGTCATGCCTGAAGCCAACCCCCTGAGTGTTTCTGTACAAAAACTAATCAATTCACATTTTGGGGGGTGTATAAAGTGGTTTGGGTTTCTTTCTCTTGCATCCAAAAAGGGCCCTCCCCTATCCCTGCGGATGCCCACTCACCTAGGGCTGTACCATAGCCAGCAGTGGCCAGCGCACCGGTGTTGCAGTGGGTCAGCACTGTCACCTTGCCGCCCTCGGGGGCTGCCCGCTCTAGGAGGTGGCGGGCTCCCAGGTCCCCGATGCTCTGATTGTCCCGGAGGTCTTTTGCCAGCATGTCCTCGGTCCAGCGGATCACTCTGGGGCCGACAGGGGACTCTGAGCACAAGTCACAAGCCTTCAGGGCCCACACCAGCCCCTCCTCCCTGCCCAACACCGCTCTCCTGGAGCCCTCCTGCTGAAAGCCTCTCACAGCTGTGGGTCTGGACCCTTCTGCCACAGCCACCTGACTGTAACTCCATTTGCTCTTGAGACACACTTACTAAGCACCTCCTGTGCGTCAGGGGCTGGGCGACACAGCAGTGAACAAGACAAAAATCTCTGCTCCTCTGGAGCTGACACGGAGGTGGGGGAAGCAGGTGATGAACAGACAATAAAGTGAAGGGAAAGGCAGCGGAGTCAGGAGACAGAGGACAGGAATGAGCTGTATTATACGGGGGGTGGGGAAGGCACAAACCTGAAATCTGAAGGAGAGGAGATTAAGTAGATGGATACCTGGCTTGCAGAAATGGTGTGTGCAAAGGCCCTGAGGCAGAAGGGACCCTGGTGGGGGTTAAGGAACATGGAGAGTATCTGTGCAGCAGATGGGGAGGGAGAGAGTGGGAAGAGAGCAGGGAGAGGACGAGGGCTAGAAACAAAATTCTTCAAAAGCAAAAACTAGGTAAATGAGGTGGCACTTAAAAGGGCCTCCAAGGGCAGATAGGGCTGGGGACGTTCAGGGAGGTCAAAGTCAGGGCGTTGAGTTCAAGGATCTCGGGGCCAGGCTGCCCGGTGGTGAGCCCCAGCCCTGCCTGTGTGGCACTGGACTAAGAGCACTTTGCCTCAGTTTCCCCATCTGTAACATGGGTCGTTGTGCAAAAAAAAAAAGAATGAATAGCCGCCGGTTAAAGCAGCGCTTGGCACAAGGCCCCTCTACCTCTCTCGGACCGCCTCCTCCGTGGCGCCCTCCCGCTCCGCTTCCTGGGCTGCGAGGTCGGCCAGGTCTCGGGCGGCGCGGGCCATGTTGACGGCGGTGGGCCGGGCGGTGACAAGGAAGCTCAGAGCGTCGCGCACGAAGGCCACGAGCGCGGCAAGTCCGGGTCCCCCGGCGCCCGCCTGCAGCTCCACGGCGAGGCTGAGGCAGCCCACGAGCGCAATGGCTGGGGCGCCGCGCACCTGGTGGGGAAATGGGGGCGTCAGGGACTGCAGGCATGGGAAGCCCCCCACCCCGGTCCCACCGAGCGACCCCACCTTCATAGCGCGGATGGCCTCCCAGGCCTGGCGCACCGAGCCCACCGCCTCATAGCGGCTCTGCTGGGGCAGCAGCAGCTGGTCGAGGATCTGTAGTGAGCCCCGCGAGTAGCGGATCGCCTCCAAAGTCATGCTGTTGCAGCCGCGATCACCACCTTTCCCGGGGCTCAGCTGGCCGCGCGCACCAGAGGCGGGGCCGGAAAGGGCGCCGGAGGCGAGGCCACGGCCCCAGGGGTGGGACCTCTCCCGGAAGGAGGAGCGTGCGCACATCAACTTCGCCGCCTCCTGCGACCCGCCGACCAGGCGCCGGGTCCTACTTCACCTTCTCCGCCAAACCTGGGCAGTTAGCCGCACCCTCGGAACCAAAATGGTGCCACTATTTATAGGGTAACTATTGCATGCCAAGCCCTGTGTTTGGCGTCTGGCTATAGCAAGACTCCTAAGTGCCAGGTGGGTACCCTCAGGTGCCTGACTTCTTCAGCCAGAGCCAGTGCTGCCTGTGGCCTCACGTAGAGCAAGGCACCAGAAGGGGGTTCTGAGATCCAACAGACTCTTACTGCTGCCTTGAGACCTTCCCATCCCCGCGGGGAGTAAAGGCCTGCGGGCTGGGGGCCACCACTACCTCCGGACAGGGCACATTACAAGTTCAGCAGAATTCAGCCGGAACCTCAGCCCCGAGAGGTCCGTATGTCTGGTTTGTTCACCACTGCGTCTCCAGTGGCTAGGACAGCGTCTGGTGCACTGCAAGTGCTCCGTTAATATTTGTGAAATGATCCTTCTCCAGGATTTAGGGGGAGGTGCTGGGCCATGAGTCACCTGGTGGATGCTCAGCTGTTTTTTTGCTCAGTTTACTAGTTTCCTTCAAAGGAAGCAACACGCTGGGGACTCTTTCATGACCCTTCCAGGGTGTCCCCATGGGTGGGGGATAATGAACAGCCCACGCCTGTGTGCTCCATCCCTTTCTGCATCCGGCCTGGATCCCGAGCACCCCTGCTGTCCAGTCCCATTTTCATCCTTCATACCCAGCCTGTGCCACCTCCTCCAGGAAGTTGGCACCGATTACAGGCCAGCCTGGGCTACTACCTTTCAACTCTCATCAAGCTGGGTGGGGACCCAGGCTGTGGTCACAGCATCAGCATTGGCTGATGAGATGCTGGGCAAGCTTAGTTGGGTTGCGGGGGGAGGGGTGCAGGCATAGCTCCTGGGCCCATCTAGTAACCTGAGGCAGAGGCAAAGAAGCAGGGTTTTAATGCTGGGAGGTTGGGGGTCCCACAAGGCACAGACACTCTCTCCAGGACCAAATAAATAACAACTCCATTACTGTGAGGAGGTGAGGTCTGGGGAGGGTGGTCACTGAGCTCTCCAAGGGCTGGCGGGTTAAGGGGCTGCAGCCTGTGAGGGGCCTCCTCGGTGGGTCTTGGCCTCCTGAGTGAATCTGGCCCCCAGAATCACTCACTCTCCGAACCGGAGTAGTCAGCCACGAGGGAGGAGCTGAGGCTGCAGGGCTGGGGTGTGTCCTGGGGGTTGGCTGCCTCCTGGGAGGAGCCTGGCAGGGGCTGGGGCCTGTCCTGACAGCTCTCCTCCTGCCCTGGTGGCCTACTGTTCTTGCATGTCTTGGCTGTCTCCTGAGAAGAGTCTCGGGGGGATGTGGGCCTGTCCTGGGCGGTCCCCTCCGGCACCCGTGGCTCCCCAGACTTGGGGGTCTCAGCTGTGTGCTGAGGGCTCTCTGGGACCTCCCGGGACCGCCGCCGCACAATGCCCAGGTGCCCCACGGTGATGGGGGAGCCCGTGGGAGCAGATCTGCGGTTCTGGGACAGCTTCTTCAGGACACTGCTGGCTTTGCTGCTGCTGGCGCCAGGTCCCGGGCTGGAGGGGAACCAGGAGCGGCTGATGATCTCTGTCCGCTTGAGTTTCTGCTTGTCCTCATATGCTGGGGATGGGGAGAGGGAGGGGGGAGGAGGAGGTCCAGAGCCGCCCTCTGCCCGAGCAGCCCCCCATCTCCCCCCACCCCGACCCCCTCGCCCCCTGGCCCCCACGCACAGTCTAGGGTGTGGAACTTGAGCAGGGCGGCCAGCCTGCGGTCATCCTCTGTCTCCGGCACCAGCGGGATGTCCAGGCTTGCCTTGGCCTGCAGGGCCTGGTCCCTCTCTTCCTCCTCCTGCATGGCTTTTTTCTTTTCCTGTGTTGGGGAGAAGGGGTTGGGGAGGGATGGTGGGTGTCAAAGCCGTGCCTCTTTGCCCTCTGAGCTGGAGGGGAGAATCCCTCCAGTGTTCAGGGTCTCAGTTTCCTTCTCTTCAAGCACATGCGAGGAAAAGGCCTCACACAGTGCTCGGGACATAGAATTTGTTCAACAGCAGGAGACACAATCATTAGTATGTGTACCACTGGGTTCTTCACTCATTCATTCTTTCCACAGATATTTACAGAATGTCTTTCTGGTGCCAGGCCTTGTTCTAGACACTAGGGACACAGCAGTGAGCAGACAAAATCTTTTGCCCTGGTGGAGCTGACATTCTAGTGGGTGAGCAAGACAAAGTGGTGAGGAGAGAAAGAATGCTGGGAAGAGGGTAGGAAATAGGCAGCAGGTTCAACTTTAAATGTGGTGTGCATGGTAGAGGGGAGAGTTAGGGACAGCATCCTGAGAAAATCATGTTTGAGAAAAGGTGTCTGAGTGAGGGAGCCATGTGGGTATCTGGTGGAGGGAACAGCCTGTGCAAAGGCCCTGAGGCAGAAGTGTGCTTGCCAGTGAGGCGGCCAATGTGGCTACAGCAGAATGAGCAAGGGAAAGGTGGAGATGGGGGTAAGGAGGGGAAGGGGAGGATCATTTGGGCCTGGTGGGCCAAGGGGAGGACTCTGGCCATTGGGAGCCACGGAGGGTTTTGAGCATAGCAGGGATGTAATCCCACTCAGGCGCTCACTGGCGGCCCCTGGTGGCTGTGAGGGGAACAGCCTGTGGGACACAGGGCATGAGCCCCTGGAGACCAGGGTGGAGGGACTGTGCTGGTCCAGGCAGGAGATGATGGAGGCTGGGAAGTGGTCAGAGCCTGCCAGAATTTGCTGACAGATGGGGAGAGGGGAGTGGTGGTTATAACAAGAGGAACCAAGGCTGACTCTGGGCTTTATGGGCTGAGTGTCCGGAAGGACAGAGATGCTTCCATTACTGAGAAGGGGAGGATGCAGGCAGGGCAGGTTAGGGACTGATGGGGCTCCTTGGGATGTTACGTTTGAGGGTCCTTAGACCCCATTCGGGGATGCCCACAAGGCAGGGGACACCAGCTCTGGGCAGAGGCCTGGCCAGAGAGATACACTTTCAGTAACAAATAATTAGTAAGAAAACCCACAATTTTACTCCTAATAATAACAACCACAGGATGATCAGAGAAGGTGATGTGAAAAAATGGGAGTGGCAAGATGATGAATACGGAGCTTGTGCCTTGTGGGGTCGCCCGGGATGCTCCTGCCCGGGCTCTGTTTGCAGGCTCCAGGGGTGTAAGCTGCCCCGCAAAGCGAGGCAAGAGGCAAAAGTTCTCATGTTCCCAAAGGACGTTCCACTGCCCTGTCGGATGCCCGCGAGGGTAAAAAACCCATGTCTATTATACTCCTCTGACCCCAGACCCCCACTCCCTGTGACTTAGCTCCACTGAGTATTTTTGGCACAATTGTAGTAGCCATTGTGTCACTGACAGCAACGCCCTAGGGTGTCCTCCAGCTACGACCCTGTGCCCCTGGGGTCGGGAGTCTGCGTTTGCACCTGCGCCCTCAGTGGCTCTACAAGCAGGTACAGGTGTCTGGCCCAAGCATTTACATGTTGAGATAGGCATTATACATTTTATAGGTAATTTCCTTTTTTATCTCTAGGGATTTGACTCTAGGGATGATTGTGGAAATTACGTGGGGGTGGGTTGTCAAACTATGGATTTTGTTTCAGGACAGCTGAGCGGGCCCATGAAATATGTTAGGAGCTGATCGGTGCCCTCCTGGGCCTCTGCCTGCCCCGGCCACGGGGGGGTGTCGGGACTCACTTGTGCCCCAGCTTGAGGATTTCTTCCCTTTGAGAGTCTGCTGTGAGGGCCAGAGTCCCCAGGGGAAGGGGCCACATGCTTAATAGTAGCTGCTGGGCTAGATGCCTCCGTGGGCGCTGTGATGTGGGGATGTGGTGGTGAATGGGGAAACCGCGGGTGAAATGACCTGCCTATAGCTAGGATGTGGTAGGGAGTGGGCTGGACCTGGGTCTCAGCCTGCTTTTTGATCTCCTCGCTGCACTGCTGGTGATGCCAGGCCACCCCCGCCTGCCCGGGGTCCTGACTCCGGGCCGGAGCCCTGCTCACCCGGAACCTTTTCCGCAGCATGCTGTTGAGGGCGAAGTCGTCCTTCCAGGCGCTCTGGGCCTCCTGGATGTGGCTCAGGGTGGGGAGGGCCTTCTTGAGCGTGCTCCGGTCGGCCTCACCGTGCTCCAGTCGGAACATGGCATCTGTCTCCAGCTTCTGCTTCTTCTCGTGCTCTGCGAGAGTGAGAGCGGGGCTGGGCCTTCAAGGCCCTGGCTCGGGGCTGGGCTCAGGGCTGGCAGTGGGCTCGGAGCCCACGTTGGGCGCTCACCTGTCGTCAGCACCTGCTCGTTGTCTGCCATGTCCCAGCGCTCCTCCTTGCGCTGGGCGCCGCTCACGATCACGTAGTCGCAGTTGGCGGGGTCTGTCTGCATCTCGATGTAGTTGACGCAGAGGTGGCATTTCATTCGGAACCTGGCAGGGCGGAGGGTGATGGGTTAGAGTCAGGACACTGTGGCCCGCTTCCTTCCATCCGTGCGTGTCATCAACTAGTGTTCACGGAGCACCTGCTACATGCTGGGCTCCATGTCTGGGGGACAGCCGTGGGTGAGACAGATATGGTTCCTTCACCCCGGCACTGACCTTCTGTCTGGAGTTTGTTCACTTGTTCATCCATCCATTCATTTGTTTGTTCGTTCATTCATTCAACAAACCCTCCTGAGGGGACGGAGCAGAGCCTGCGGGGCCTTGTGGGCCACGGGGAGGACTCAGGCTTTTACTCTGAAGAAGGTGGGAACCATGAAGGGTTCTAGGCAGGATGTGCCCTGACAGACCATGATGGTTTCCAGGAGACCTCCCAGGGAATAATCATCAGGCAGAGGGTAGAAACTTCCCTCTGACTCAGACTCCTTTGTAGCCCCCTCACCCTGCCGCCCACCAGGCTGCCTCTACCTGTAGATCGGGGTCGTGTAGTAATTGCCAACCTTCTTCTTTTCTGCATTGTAACGAACACCTAGGAGGAGAGGGAGAGAATGAGGCTAGGGCTCAGGCCACCCTCAGCGTCTTTTCCTGGGGTGGGGAGCAGATGGGGGTGGTATTTTACTCCCCTGCAGGGGAGACACCTCTGGAGGACACTGAAATTCAAGCACAAAAGAGCCATGTCTAGGCTGCGGGATGGGTGCTCAGGCCACAGAGGAGGGTGGGCTGGATGGAGCCAGAGGGCCTGGGTTCAAACCCTGGCGCCACCCCACTGGCTGTGCGACCTTAGGCCAGCTGCCCTGGCCGTCTGGCCTCAGGTTCCCCATCGATTGGATAGGGATGCCTATGACGCCTACCGCACAGGGCTGGTGTGAGAACTGCAGAAGCTATTAATACCCACGGATCGCTCAACACTGGGCCAGGTGCTCAGCAAGCATGCAAGAAGGGTTGGCTTTTGGGAATTCCCTCCCTGTCGGTCCAGTGGTTAGGACTCCGTGCTTTCACTGCCGGGGCCCAGGTTCAATCCCTGGTCGGGGAACTAAAATCCCACAAACTGTGGGGTGTGGCCAAAAAAAAAAAAAAGGTTGGCTTTTATTATTTTTCTAGAGAATCCAGGTTTTTTGTTCCTTTTTCACTAATTAGATGGTATATTCTTGACTCTTATCTTGCTTACTGAGTGAAAAAAGCTTAAACTAGAAAAACAGAGCTTGGGGGGGTTGGTGGTGTGGCCTGGCCGGCTGTTCCTTTTCTGGGGGGCTGCTTCTGTTCACGGCCCTGAGGTTGACCCATGTGTGGCGTCAGGCTGCGCCCTGCTCTTTGTCGCCTGAGCGCCTGGAGGCCTTTGGGGCAGATGCCCCTTGCTGGGTCTGATGAAGGGGATGTGTTGGGGGGAGTCATTCCACTTCAGCAGTGGGGTGGCCTGGCCCCTCTTTCTTGCACTGGACCCTCCTGCCGAGAGCTGCCGGCTCCTGTTTACAGAGCGAGCTGCTGCCCTGGGCCAGGCGCCGTGGGAAGGGCGGAGGATCCCTGTACTATAGTGGAGGAAACGGAAGCCAGGAGGGTCGAGTCACCTGCCGCAGGCCTCAGGGCTGCTGAGCAGGGCCACGGACCCATGTCTGTCCATCCATCTGCGCACCTGTGGGCACGATCAGGGGTCTGAATGCTCACGGTAACAGTAAGGGTAGTGGCAGCAGCAGGTTGAGTTTACGAGCCCTCGCACATGCCACATGCTGTGCACTAAGCACTTTATTTTTTATTTATTTTTGGCGGCGCTGTGCGGCTTCTGGGATCTTAGTTCCCCAACCAGGGATCGAACCCACGCCCCCTGCAGTGGAAAGCGCAGAGTCCTAACCACTGGACCGTCAGGGAATTCCTTGCACTAAGCACTTTATATGCCACACAGGCGGGCACTCATACCACCTGAATTTCACAGATGGGTAACTCGAGGTGCATGGTGGCTCAGTCGCCTGCCAAGGGTCACCAGCTAGGAAGTGGCAGAGATGGGATTTGAACCCAGAGCCTCCTAACCGCTCTGCCATGAGGCATCCACAGCCCACCAGGCACTTGAGCCCACTGTCCCCTACTCGACTCCTGACCGGGACCCCCGCGGGGACGGTCTCTCACGGTGCCCAGCAGTTAAGGGGCTCGCTGGCTGTGCGGCTGAATGGTGGGGGTCAGGGTGGGGAGCAGGGGAGCGGGCGGAAGCTCACCCATGCCGATGTGATTCTTGCAGCCGTCACACCAGATGTTATAGGGCATCTCAAATCTACACAAACAGAGAACAGCTCATTTGTCCCCGTCCACGTGGGCTCTCCCAGGATCTCCAGGTCAGCGACTCTGGCTGCAGTCACATTGCAAAGGGCGTGCAAGTGGGAGGGTAAAGAACGGTGGTCATTCCTGCAACCAGGCCAGGCCCATCACGTGGCTCTCTGGCCAGCTGACCCCGTCTGGGCGAGCGTCTCTGCTGGGTGCTGCCCTGTCTTCCATATCCCACCACGTCAGCTACACAGGTTTCCAAGCAGAGGAGGAAGCAGGCTTCAGGGAGCACTGGTGTTTGATTCCAGTTTAGCTAAGTTGTTGCAGTGACACCGGGTTTTTTTTTTTTTTAATACATTTATTTATTTACTTTTAGCTGCGTTGGGTCTTCATTGCTGCGGATGGGCTTTCTCTAGTTGCGGCGAGCGGGGGCCACTCTTCATTGTGGTGCGCGGGCTTCTCACCGCGGTGGCTCCTCTTGTTGCCAAGCACAGGCTCAGTAGTTGTGGCTCACGGGCTTAGCTGCTCTGCGGCATGTGGGATCTTCCCGGACCAGGGCTTGAACCCGGGTCCCCTGCATTGGCAGGTGGATTCTTAACCACTGCCCCACCAGGGAAGTCCCTGGGTTTCTTTCATCCAGTTCTATTTGCAACGTGCAATTCTGGTAAATTTCCATTAACAGCAGTAATGGAGCTTCTCTTTTAAAACAGAACCATTAAGTAATGAATAATGAGCTGAATTTAAGACACTGTACAGGTGAGATGAGGGCTTGGCAAACAGAAAGAAGGCAGGGCGGGTGGCTGGCTCTGGAGTGTGGAGGCATGGCGGGAGTTGGAGGTGACCTTCAGCTCTGTGACTCTTGGGGCCACTGCTGAGATTTGCATCTTGACTACTTTTCCATAGATGTTCCTGCCTCTGACGGTTTTGTCACTGGATGCTCTGCTCAGGCCCAGGGTGGACCCCAGAGGCTGAGGGCAGAGTTCATGAGGCAGAGAAGGAGGCAGAGAGGGGCTTCTGCTTCCCGCCACGGCTGACCCACAGGGTGCTGGCCAGAAATACGAGGAGAACCCCGGAATAGCCAGAGGAGAACCCCGGAACAGCCATCGTCCTGGCTTGACTGCAGCAATGGCTGTGATTCTTTATCCTCCCCATGTCCGTGCCCTTTGCAAGATGACTCTGCAGCCATTCCTGTCAAGAGGTGGAGTGTGTTGCCCACCCCCTCCCTGCATCATGACTTGCTTTGGGGAATCAATGAGACAGAAGTGACAGGGTACCAGCTCAGGGTCTCTGCCTCGAGAAGCCTTGCATGCCTCTGCTGGCTCTCTTTTGGAACCCGGCTGCTGCTGTGTGAACAAGCCCAGATTAGCCAGCTGGAGGATGAGACTTGGAACACAGCCCAGTCATACCAACCAAAGCCATGCTGGACCAGCCAGTCCCCAGCCAGGCAACCCCCAAACATGTGAGACAGCCCAGCCCAGGTCAGCCAAGACCAGCCAGGGGCAGCAGAGGCATCCAGCTGAGCTGCAGACTCGTGAACAACACGAGTGCTTAACATGTGCTTATCGTTTTGTTATGCAGCAATGGCTGACTGATACAGCAACTTTCTGCTTTATGGAATTAAGACCCTGCAGCACTGGGCAAAATCAGGGGGTGCTGAACGCTCCTTGAGGTTGACACCAGGTGGCACAAAGGGCAGGGGTCCTCAGGTGATGCCAGGGCCTTACCTGATGATGAGGATGCCCTGGGACAGCTTCCGAGCCCGCTCCCGAAGAGGGTGGCTGTTATGGTATCTGTTGAGTGAGCCATGCTGTGTGGAAAGGAAGAGGGAGCAGATTAGCACTGCTGAGCTGGGGGAGCTCAGGCCCTCTCTCACAGGCCGAGAGAGGCCTCATTCTTATGTCCTGCTGGGAGTGTTAACAGCAAAATGGGAGGCACTTAGGCGTTGGTGAAGCAAGTAGGCTTGGAATCAGGAAAACAGGAGTCTGCATCTTACCTCTCCCATTTAGGAGCTAAAAGAGCTGTGTGACCCTGGGCAGTGACCTCACCTTTTGCCTTCCACAGCCCTATGAGTCAACTGGGGACGAGGATCATAATAATTACCTCCAGGTGTTGTGGGATCAGGTGAGATGACAAGACCAGCAAACCTCTGCTGGGTACTTTAAGTGTGTCATCTCACTTTAATCCCTCAACGTTTCTGGGAGGTCACGTTGTTTTGTTTCCCCTTTGGACCTATGGGGAGACTCTGGTGTAGAAAGACCGAGTCATGTGCAGGGGACCACATAGCTGGGACATGATGATTCATTTACTGGCCCCTTACTGAGCGCCCATAGTGTGGGGACACAGATGCAAAGAGACAGATGAACATCCCTGCCCTTGAGGTGCGGACGTTCTAGAGGGGGAGATGGGGGGCTTCCCTGGTGGTGCAGTGGTTAGGAATCCACCTGCCAATGCGGGGGACACGGGTTCAGGCCCTGGTCTGGGAAGATCCCACATGCCGCAGAGCAACTACGCCCGTGCGCCACAACTACTGAGCCTGCGAGCCACAACTACTGAGGCCCACATGCCTAGAGTCCATGCTCCGCAACAAGAGAAGCCACCGCAAAGAGAGGCCCACACGCTGCGACAAAGAGTACCTCCCGCTCGCTGCAACTAGAGAAAGCCCGTGTGCAGCAACGGAGACCCAATGCAGCCAAAAATAAAGAAATAAAATAAATAAATAGAGGGGGAGATGGATAATAGGCAAATAAATGGGTGACGCATTGAGGAGTTAAGAAGGCTACGGAGAGAAATAAAGCACTAGGTCATGCGATAGAGAACGAGAGGGTGGTCAGGGAGGCCCTCTGTGAGGAGAGACCTAAAGGAAGGAAAGGAGTCTTGGGGTCAGAGGGAGGGAGAGGTTCCAGGCAGAGGGAACAATGAGGAGGCCAGACGAGCTGGAGCTGGGAGGGTGAGGGGATCTGACCCAGAGGCCGTGTGTGGGACCTCATCCTGGACTCCACTGGAAACACACCACACCTGACACTGGGCATGCTGGTGTTTACATGGGTCACTGACCAGGGTCACACTGACCACCTGGGAGGGAAGGCTGCCCCAAGACTCAGGTGACAAGCGCAAGGCAGGGAGACCTCGGGGGCCGCCCGGGCTTCTGCAGCTGTGGTTCTGACTCCAGGAGGGGATGAAGAGCGTGGGGCCCCTACCCGGCGGGGTTGCTATGCTATCGTGGACACGGAGAAGGAAGCCTGCCCCTTACCTTTGTAGGGTTGAAATCCGGAGGGTAGTACTTGTTTACGCCTTTCCTTTCACCCTGGAAAGCAGAAGAGAGACGTGAGTCAGAGAGGGTCCTACAGGAGACCTACTTGTGCAGCCTTGAGGGACGAGACCTGGACAAGGAAGACAGGGATATCCTGGAGGATGGCCCAGGGCTCTGTGTCCCATCGAGGACTGGTGACTTGGGGGAAAAAGCCCCACTGTTGGGAATTCCCCGGCGGTCCACTGGTTAGGACTCAGCGCTTTTACTGCCGTGGCCTGGGTTCAGTCCCCGGTCAGGGAACTAAGATCCGGCAAGCTGAGCGGCTCAGCCAGAGAAAAACAAACAAACAAAACAAACCCCACTGTCGTCGCTGTGGAAAATTCCGCAAGGGTTAGACTCTCCTAGAGAAATGGCTTTCACAGTTATTTTGGGACTGTGACTTAAGGTAAGACATATTTAACCCCAAATACACAAGCACATGTTTCAGGAAAGAATGCTCACCCAGCTGTGAATCTCTCTTTTAAATGCTGACAGCCAACTGCTGAATTGACTTATTGACTTAACGATCCACTGAAGCAGTGGGTCTCAAACTTGGCTGCATGTTACAACTACCCGAGGAGTTTCTAAAATACTGATGCCTGGGACCCACGCCCAGAGGTTCTCCTGACAGAGGACCTGCTCTAGGGCATGGTGCCTGGACACAGGGCTTTTCCAAAGCAACCCCAGAAAACACGTGTGTATACACATCCCTGTACATACAGGTCCATTCACAATAGCCAAATGGTGGAAACAACCCAAGTGTCCATCAGTGGATGAAAGGATAAACAAAACGTGGTCTATCCATATAATGGGATATTATTCAGCCATAAAAAGGAAGGAAGCTCTGATATATGCTGTAATGTGGGTAAACCCCGAAAAAATCATGCTAAGTGAAAGAAGCTGGATACAAAGGGACACATGGTACATGATTCCATTGATATGAAATGTCCAGAATGGACAAATCTACAGAGGCAGGAAACAGACTGGTGGTTGCCAGGGGCTGGGGTGGGGGAACGGGAGTGACTGCTGTTGGTTATAGGGTTTCCTTTTGGGGTGATGGAAATGTTTTGGAACTAGACAGAGGTGGTCATTGCAAAATATTGTGAATGTACTAAATGCCACTGAATCATACGTTTTAAAATGTTAGTTTTATGTTATGTGAATTCCACCTCATTAAGAAAAAAAAAAACCAGGAAAAAAAAGAAAAAAGCCCCCTGGGTGATTTCAGTACACAGCAAAGTTTGAAAACCACTGCACCCGAAGACCATGATCCAGAGTTTCAAAATACCTGAGAGCTTGGGCTCAGGGGTGGGGAAGGAGACTTTTAGGGGAGGGAAAGGGCTATTCAGGGGACACCTTCCCTTCACCTAAAGATCAGAAGAGAAACCCAATGAGCACAGCCTGTCTACTCACCATCTTGGAAGCTGCCTACTGGTCCTCAGCTGCCACTCAGCCAATCTGAAAAGACGATGAGACACTGCTTTGCCGACTCACTGCCCAGTGCCAGCCTCCTGGACAGCCTGGCAGACAGTCGCGGCTTCTCTGTGAAGATGCGGTGGGCTGTGTGTGGTGGTGGCGGCGGCTCAGATGATCCTCTCCGCAGGTGTAGGAGGCATCCAAGGAGCGGCGTTTGTCTGTCTGGAAAGGGAGTGTCCTGTCCACTCTCCATCCAACATATATTTCCCAGCTGACACTTCTCATCCCTCCATGGCCCCCATCATCGCTCACCTGGACGAGTACAGTCACCTCCTCCCTAGGCTCCTGGCTCTGCCCTTGACTCTCACGGTCTGTTCTCCTCGTAACGGCTAGAAGGATCTGTGAAAATATAAATCTGAACTATCACTTTCCTGCTTAAACCCCTCCAGTGATTCCCATCGCTTTGAGAATCAAGTCAAACCCCTCCCCACGGCCTATGGGGCCCCTGCCTGCCTCTCCGAGCCCACCTTTTACCCCTCTCCCTCTCCCTCGCTGTTTCAGTCACACTGGCTTCCTGGCTGCCTTCGAAAGCTAAGCAGGTGCAGGCCAACTGCCTTGAACGCTGCTAAACACCTACAACACACAGGATAACACCCACAAGTGTTCTTTCTCACAGGTCTCAGCTAAAACATCACCCCTGTCAGAGGCCTCGTCTGATCACCTGATCTAAAGTCACTTCTTCCCTGGAGCTTCCACCACATCACCCTGTGTCTGTTTACTTGTTTACAGTCTGTCTCCTCCGCCAGGGGCCACCGTGCTACGTCTCCGGCACCCAGGACAGCTCCTGATAAATGCTGACTTCATCAACCTCTGATAACTGACTGAGGTTCCATAAGACTCAGTGTGGGTGACACAGAGACACTGGGAATTTGGGGTTAGCAGATGCAAACTATTACATATAGAATGGATAAACAACAAGGTCCTACTGTATAGCACAGAGAACTATATTCAATATTCTAAGATAAACCATAATGGAAAAGAATATTAAAAAAAGAACATATATATATATGTTTAACTGAATCACTTTGCTGAACAGCAGCAATTAACACAACATTTTATGTTTTTTTTTTTTTTTTTTTTTTTTTTTTGTGGTACGCGGGCCTCTCACTGCTGTGGCCTCTCCCGTTGCGGAGCACAGGCTCTGGACGCGCAGGCTCAGTGGCCATGGCTCACGGGCCCAGCCACTCCGCGGCATGTGGGATCTTCCCGGACCGGGGCATGAACCCGTGTCCCCTGCATCGGCAGGCGGACTCTCAACCACTGCGCCACCAGGGAAGCCCTAACACAACATTTTAAATCAACTGTATTTCAATTAAAAAAATTAAAAAAAAAATTAAAAAAAAAGAGAGACACTATGAGGGACTAAAGCGTAGTCCAGAATGGGGATTGGCAGATTTTCTCGATTGAGGGCCAGAATTTCTGTCCCAACAGCTCAACTTGGCTCAACTCTGCTGTCACTGCTAGAAAGCAGCCATAGACAATATGTAAATGAACGGGTGTGGCTGCATTCCAACAAAACTTTATTTGTGGACCCTGAAATTTCAATTTCACATGATTGCCACATGTCACAAAATATTATTCTCCTTTTGATTTTTTCCCAACAATTTAAGAAGTTAAATCCATTCTTTGCTGGTGGGCTGTACAAAATCACGCAGTGGTCCGGTTTTGGCCTGTGAGTGTAGTTTGCTGGCTCCTTGTGCTCGAGTCAGGAAGTCTGTTTCTGCAAACTTAGCTGCGCGCTCTCTAATAGTTACTGTGTACTACCTGCTGCACAGAGTCCAACATCATTGCCCCATTTACTCTATACTATGTTAGTATTATCTCCAGTTGACGAACGAGGACGTGGGAGCTTAAGTAACGTGCCAGGGGTCAGAAGCTGATAGGAAGGCAGAGCCAGGGTGCAAAGCCCCAGATATAAAGTGTTCCACCATCCCCCCAAACTCCTCTCCACCTCGGATCCTCCACCTGTAAAGTGTGCCCCTGGACCAGATTTTCTTAAAGTCACTTCCAAACTAAAAATGCTTTTGCCAACAAAATAGCTAAGTGCCCACCCAAGCTTTGGGGGCACAGTTCCATGGGCTGGAATCCCTGCTCCATTCCTCACTAGCTGGGTAACCTTGGCCAATGTCTGAGCCTCCCTGAGCTTATATTTCCTCACCTGTAAAGAGTGGATGACGGCAAGAGGACTTTCTGGAGTTGCTGTAAATGAAATAACATACAAACATGGGTAATGCTTGCACAGAGTAAGTACTCCACTTACAGGAGTTGGGGGTCTTACCGTGGTTTTATCACCCCAGTGAGTGGTACAGGTGGGGCTACAGGGTGGATGTATAGAAATCTCTGGTCCTTGGTGTCAAGAATAATGATAAACCCCCCTGGCTCAGGGCATAATGCTTGGGCTTGGATCCCGACTCTGCTTTGCTTGCTAGCGGCTTGACTTTGGGCAAACTGCTTCTCTCTCTGAGCCTGTTATCTTATTTGTAATATGGGGTTTATACAAGTATCAACCTGATGAGGTTGCTGTCAAGACTCAGTGAGTTAAAGTATCTGGAAGAGCGCCTGATGCTGAGTTAAACGTTTGTAGTTCTGATTATTTCCGTTTTACAAGCATCATTTAAAAAAATCTTCACCAAGACCCAAAGAAATACGGGCTTACTGTCCCATTTTCCAGATGAGGAAAACCTGAAGAGGTATAATATGGGCTAGGGTCAGGTCTGGGGTCGCAGCTAGGGCCCGGGGTTTTGTGTCGGGGGTCGCGGCTGGGGGGCGGGCAGCTCCGAGCATCGGGCCCACGTTCCCAGAGCCCCGCGGCCCCCGGCGCGTTCGACCCCATAGGGCGGCTCCGAGGCCGGGTGAAGCAGTGGACGGACCCCCAGCCGTACCGGGCCTAGCCGCCCCTCTGCCCGCCTGCACTTACCTGCCCTCCTCCTGACGTCACTCCGCGCCCGTCCCGGAAGTCCCTGCTGGGCGCGTAAGGGGGCGTGGCGCACTCCCCGCGTGACAGGGACGCCTGCGCGAGGCGGGGCGAGGCGGCAGCGCAGCGCTGACTGGCTGAATGTCGAACACGCCGCTCGCTCACAGCCGCCGGAGTGGACCAATCCGGGCCTGCCCTTCCCAACTGCGCGCACTACACGATGCCCCACCCTCGGCCCCGCCCACTTTGCCTGACCCAATCCAAGGACCGCCTTTCTGATGATGCTCTCCAGAGAGCGGGATTTCGCCAGCTGAAGCGGTGGAGCAAACTCCAGCTCCTGGGCCAAATCAAACCAGCCCCTTGTATTTGAATGGCTAGCGAGTTAACAAATGTTTTTAAATTTTTAAATGGTTGGGGGGGGGGAATCAAAAGAATAACATTTTATGACTTGTGAAAATCAAATGAAGTTCAAATTTTAGTGTCCGTGTATAAAATTTTATTGGAATCCATCTGCGCCCACTCATTTACCTGTCTGTAGCTGCTTTCCCACTACAGTGGCAGAATTGAATGGTTGTCACAGAGCGCCTATGGCTCATGGAACCTGAAAATGTACTGTCTGGCCGTTTACAGAAGTGGGTCAGCCCTTGTCTTAGAACCTTCAGATAAGCTGATTTTACCTTCTGCACAGGGCAATGGCTTTTGAATGTACTTTTGTGCCTTGTAGAGTTTAGCAAAATCTGTTTGTTCATTTGTTCGCTCAACAGCTGTTTACTAGGTGCCTGCTATATGTCAGGCCGTGGGGATTATGGAGCAAAAGACACACCCTTTTCTCACTGATGAGGCTGGCATGTCAACTGGAAGTTTATCGAAGACAGTGTGAAAAATGATGACACCGGTACTGCTACGATTGCTACTATTACTATACTATTTGGTGCCAGGCCCTGTTCTAAAGCTCTCATAAGCCAGATCTCGTGTAATCATAGTGCTGCCTATGGAGTGCTCACTACTCACCAGACATCATTCACCAGTGCTCACTATTGAATGAATCACCTCAGGGAATGCTGATTCCAGGAGATGGATACTCTATTGTTTTCATTTTACAAATGAAGAGACAGGCCCAGAGAGATTAAGCAATTGGCCCAAGGTCACACAGCTAGTGAAAGGTGGAGGATTTGTCTTACATCTGCTGACACTAAACCTTGTTCCTTTAACCTCTGAGCTACACTGCTTTGGGTTGTATGCATTAAACATAAGGGCTGTGGGAACCAGGAGGAATCTTTAACAAGGGTCGGGTGTTTGGGAGCGGGCACAAGTGAGGGTGAGCAAGACCCCTGTGATGGGTGACACCGGAGCTGGATAAAGAGAAGCCAGGCAGAGGAAGGGGGGGGCAGGGCAGAGGAATGCTCACAGATCCTGAGGAACAAGATGGAGCTGCACTCAAACCCCAGTAATCTTGCTTGCTACCTCTGAATTTTGGTTGAGTCCTTGTCTTGCACCTGAAAGAAGAGCTAGTGACAGAAAAGCCACAAAATACTCCCTTGTGAGTAATATTTTGGTGAGAAGTGTGAGAGCCCTGGGCTTTCAAGGGACGTGTAGAGCTTCACTCTTTTTTTAAAAAAAATCCTTTATTTATTTTTAATTTATTTTTGGCTGTGTTGGGTCTTTGTGGCTGTGCACGGGCTTTCTCTAATTGCAGCGAGTGGAGGCTACTCTTCGTTGAGGTGCACGGGCTTCTCAGGGCAGTGGCTTCTCTTGTTGTGGAGCACAGGCTCTAGGCGCACGGGCTTCAGTAGTTGTGGTGCGTGGGCTCAGTAGTCATGGCTCGTGAACTTAGTTGCTCCACAGAATATGGGATCTTCCCAGGCCAGGGCTTGAACCCGTGTCCCCTACATTGGCAGGTGGATTCTTAACCACTGCACCACTAGGGAAGTCCCGAGCCTCACTCTTATTACTCAAACACAGCTCAGGTGATGGAAACAAACGTCAGCCTGGGATACGAAGAGACTGTCTATAAAGATGCCAAGCGCAAGGCAGTTCCCGTGGGACCAAGGGAACTGGCTCAGGGAGAGGAAGACAATTAGACAGGCCGGGCAGGGTGACAGGAAGGGACCTGGATTCTAGCTCTTGGGGACCCTGACCAAGTCACATCACCTCTGTCTGCTTACCTGTAAAGTGGGATATCTCAGCCCTGCCCATGGGAACAAATGCAGTAAATGCCTACCAGTGCATTTGTAAAACAGTTTGAAGAGGAAGAGAGAAGCCAGTGGGCCGGGAAGGGCCTTCCAAGATCATGGTGTGTCTTTGGGGGACAAGAGCAGAATGACCAAGGAGGAGGAGACCTCTAAGCACCAGGAAGTTCTTTACATAAAACTGAAACCCACTTCCCTGCTATTGGCACCCACTATGTGGCCCTATTCCTAACTTCGGGGGCTACAGAGGACCGACCCCTCTTCCACGTGCCAGCCCTCCAGCTCCCTTCCACCTCTAAGAGTCTGTGGTTCAAGCCTACCTCTGTCTTCATGCCCCAATCACCAACCAGCTCAGAAAGCAGGCCCAATAGGTTAGACATTTTCTATTTAATCTGTGACTATGACCAAAACTATTTGGGGTGCCTGTCCAGCCCCCACCCCTACCTTTGTGTGAGAACGTCCAACCTCCAGAGGGTGCTGCAGCATTTCTATTTATGGCCACAGCTGATTGGATCAGGGGTATAGATTTAACCCAAGCTGGGCCAATGGGATTTTCTCCTGGCAATTTACAACTGGGATCCAGACATGCACAGGAATCTGCTTGTGGCTTAATCTGAGGACATAGAACTTTGGGACTTAGCCCAAAACTTAGCCACATAGAACTTTGGGACTTAGTGGGAAGCCATCTTTAGCCACGTGCAGAGAAAAGCAGAGATGAAAACCGTGTGGTGAGAAAGAGAGAGATAAAGAAATAGAGATAAAGAGGGAAAGAGAGAGAAAGAGAAAGGAATAGAGAGGCAGAGAAAGAAATAGAAAAACTTTCCTTATCCCTGAAGACCTTTCAGTTCTTAAGTGGCTTGATATATCCCTGTATCCCTAAAATAAACTCTCCTCTTTGACTAAGCTAATCTGAACAAGTTTCTCTTTCTTGCAAGCAAAAGAACTTTAACAATGTCTGTGTCTAAGATGCAGTGTTGGTATGTGGAATTTACAAACTCCAGATCGTTCACCTCATTTTTTGTGAAAACTGACACCAAGACTAGGGGGCCTCAAACAATTCATTCTGTAGATAGAACTGCAAAGTATGAAATAGCTATAGAATGATAAAAATGAAGTCCAAACCAAATGAATCATCTTTTACAAGTGAGCACTGAGGCTGGTCAATAACGCAAGCTCTCTGATTATGGAAAACAAGGTAACAGGATCTGAAATTCAGGGGGCTACAAAACCAGGACGATGGATCTGTGTGCAATCCTACTGCTCTGGGTCTCTTAACATGAAGCTGTGCTTGCAGGTTACTTAACACATTTCCCAGGAGTATCAGAGTTCCAGATTTGGTGGTTGAGGGGGTCTGAGTCCAGAGAGAAAATGAAAGGCAGAATCAAGAACTCGACAAAAGGAAGCTTGACACATTTTCAAATCAACTGCAGACAAAACAGAAAACTCAATGACAGGCCTATATATCTGCCTCTGTCAGATCCTGATGAGATCAGGACAACACTTGGGTTTCTCGGACAAATCCTCTTCCCGGTGCAAGCTGGAAGACAGAGAGGACAGGGCCAGCTCCTACGTGGGCCACTTCTCCAGTGGCCAGGCTCTGAGCACACAGGGCACCCAGGGAAGCTTGGTGTCCTTGCCATGATCCTGTAACTCCAGAGGAAGGGGCAGGAGAGGACCTGCAAAACGAGCAAGTTCAGTGCCACACCTCCAATTGTTAGCTACGACACCTGGCTTATTCTGCAGTTAAATTCTTTGGGGGAAACAAAAATATTGAAAAGGAACATCTGACAGGTAAACAAGGTCTTCCTGTATAGCACAGGGAACTATATATATTCAATATTGTGAGATAAACCATAATGGAAAAGAATCTAAAAAAGAATGTATATATGTGTATAACTGAATCACTTTGCTGTACAGCAGAAATGAACACAACACTGTAAATCAACTTTACTTCAATAAGAAAAAAAGAAAAGGAACATCTGATTAGAAATACGTCTCGTGTGTGAAAAGAGGAGTGTGGCGATGCAGAGGGCTTTGAGCCCACGCAGGGTAGTGAGAGCTACTTAACTGGGCTGCTGTCTTTAAAGAGGAAGAAGACAGGATTGGATTAAATGAGAGAGGGAGCCTCCCTTCCCAGTGGTGGAAGGGCACCTTGAAGCCACGAGGCCCCGTCATGCTTTGTGGCTCTGTAATCAGCAAGAGAGAACATGGAGAAGGTCTGGACCTTGAAGAGTTCAATGGCATCTGCAAACTACCTCCAAACAAGAAGAATGACATGCTTAACTCAGGCACTGCTTTTACTGTACCAGGTTCAAAGGACTTTTAAAGGAGGCCTGCGCCTTTATGGGTTTAGGAAAACTGGGTTCTCGGGAGCAGCGGGTTCTATTCTTGGCTCTGCTGCTTGGTATTTTAGTTGACCTGGTGTGCCATAGGAAGGGTTTGACAATCTCTTGGAGTCTACTGTTCTTGAAATTTAAGGAGAGAGCAAGGAAGCAGAGATGCAGAGACACTCATAGCTTTTCTGGTTTTTTAAGTCTTTTAAGGAATAACTCAATGCATTTTTGCTTGCGGCTGGGGGGAGGTACCAACAGAGTGCATGAGGAAGGCATTTGCTGCTCTCTTGGTGGCCCTGTTGCAGTGGTGCCTTATTTACCATTAATTGCCCGCAAATGCAGTTTACTTCATAATGTCCTTCTGACAACCAAATCTGAAGGACACGGGGGCAATAAGCACAAGG